TGCCCATTACCTTGATTTTCTTTATCCTCCCTCCCCTCTTCATTGTTTTTCATGGGCTGTTGTGGTTAAGTTCAAAGGTTGTGGTTAAGCGCAGAGTCTGCAGGTACAAGAAGGTACTTTCCATGACCTATTACTTTAGTATAAAAGTCAGCAGAAAAAGAGGAGGGGCGCGGCAGTCACTTGAAGGATAGCATCGGCATATGCTGCCAGGCTGTCTGTCTTCTTCATGAAGAAACTAAAATAAACCTTGTTTTTTGATCTTTTTTTGGGACTGTCTCTTTCCTTATGTGTTCGCGTGATGTGGACGTAAGAAGACCCAATTTAGGGTCTCTAACACAAGCAGGGTGGCCTTTTACAGCTGACAGATGGTAATTTTTGTCTGTGCTGATTGTTTTTAAGTGTAGGCCAAGGTCTTGAGGCACTGCACCCAGTGTGCCCATCACAACTGGGACCACCTTGACTGGCTTGTGCCAGAGTCTTTAGAAACACAACAAGATTAGTACACAGAAAACAAGATCACTCTGCTGGCATTTGTTATTTTGTTGTCGTTGTCGTTGTTAGGCCCGTGCCTCTTAGATGAACAGGACTCTGAAAGCAAGGAGGAATGCATTTAAAACATGTTGAAATAATGCAAATAGGCTAGAATAAAGAAAATCAATTAACCAATGTATTAATGGAAACATTAAAATTGCATCCAAAGATTGTCGTTGTCATTGATCTGTTTTTTCCTTGCAATTATATATTATTTATATATTAATTATATATAGTTAATATATAATATTAATGATATATTAATGATACAATGATATAACACATATTTTATATAATTAATTATATACTAATTATATAAAATATTAATTATATATTTGATTGGTATTGGAAACTCGGGACTAGATTGGTTTTGTTTGGATTCTTTGCAGCTGGGAGTCTTGGCTCCAAGAGGTAAGAGAAGAAAGAATGAGTGGAATGCTCCAACCTAAACGTCCGGCTCCCATGCGACCTTTCAAGAACTCAATGCGACTTGTCTCTATGTTCTTACATCATGTCTCAGGGAGGGGGGACCGGAAGTGACGCTTGCCTCCATAGGATCATAGAGTCAACCACTCCGGTTCCTAGAAAGCAAGCTTTGATTTTTAAAGCGACAGGTGACCTATTTCTTTTTGCCATGAAATATATTAAACTATATATAAACAAATGGTAAAGAATAATATAAAATCATATAGAAATATAAATTAAATTAAAAAACTAATAAAATTTCAAAATAAAATAAATTTTAACATATATATATATATATATATATATAATATTTAATTTATAAATTAAAAATTAATTATATATTAATGATATAATGATATAACACATATTTTATATAATTAATTATATACTAATTATATAAAATATCAATAATATTTTAAATATAATTTAATATATAATATTTAAAGCCATGAAAGCCTTTGACAATACAAATAATATTTAATTTATAAATTAAAATATTAATTATATATTAATGATATAATGATATAACACATATTTTATGTAATTAATTACATACTGATTATATAAAATATTAATTATACAAAGTATTAATTATATTTTAAATATATAATATTTATAAATTAAAATATTAATTATATATTAAAATATTAATTATAAATTAAAATATTAATTAGTAATGATATAGTGATATAACACGTATTTTATATAATTAATTATATACGAATTATATAAAATATTAATTATATTTTAAAATATAATTTATGTATATATAATTTAATATAATTTATGTATATATAATTTAATATATAATATTTAATTTATAAATTAATATATTAATTATATATTAATGATATAATGATATAACACATATTTTATAGAATTAATTATATATGAATTATGTAAAATATTTATTATATTTTAAAATATAATTTAAAATATTAAATTATATATATAATTTAATATATAATATTTAAAGCCATGAAAGCCTTCGACAATATATATAATATTTAATTTATAAATTAAAATGTTAATTATATATTAACGATATAATGATATAACACATATTTTATATAATTAATTATACATGAATTATATAAAATATTATTTATATTTTAAAATATAATTTAAAATATATATATATAAAAATTAATATATAATATTTAATTTATACATTAAAATATTAATTATATATTAATGATATAATGATATAACACATATTTTATGTGATTAATTATATACGGATTATATAAAATATTAATTATATTTTAAAATATAATTTAAAACATTATATATATTTTAAATATATAAATTTTTTAATATATATATATATAATTAAATCTTTTCCTTACAATCCTTTTGATTTGTATTGGAAACACATTATTAATATGATTTTGGATTATATAATATATATATATAATTTAATATATAATATATAAAATTTAATATATAATATTTAATTTATAAATTAAAATATTAATTATATATTAATGATACAATGATATAACACATATTTATATAATTAATTATATATGACATAAAATATTAATTATATTTTAAAATATAATTTAAAATATTAAATTATATAATATATAATTTTATATGTATATATGTGTGTGTGTATATATATATATATATATATATATATATATATTTAATTAAATATTTTCCTTACAAGCCTTTTGATTCGTATTGGAAACACCTTATTAATATGATTTTGGATTATATAATATATAATTTAATATATAACTTATAATATTTTAATATATAATATATATAATTTAATTATATATATATAATTAAATCTTTTCCTTACAAGCCTTTTGATTCGTATTGGAAACACCTTATAAATATGATTTTGGATTATATAATACATATAATTTAATATATAATATATAATATTTTGATATATAATATATATAATTTAAATATATAATTAAATATTTTCCTTACAAGCCTTTTGATTCGTATTGGGAACACCTTATAAATATGATTTTGGATTATATAATATATATAATTTATTATATATATTAAAATATATTACATATAATTTAATATTATATATAATAAAATTTAATATTATATTATATATAATATAATATATATAATTTAATATATAATATTATACACACTTACACACACACATATATAATACACACACAAGAATAAATGATAAAACCTGGGGGAGAGTCCCTAGACATTGAGAAATAGAGAAGGAGGTCAAACGGGAGCCGGAAGTGTGTGTGCGGGGTTGGCCTCTCATCTTAGCCTTCCCTCTATGTCCCCGTGGTGAATGCCTTGACTGGGCCTCTGGGTGAGTCTCTTCTGCAAAATGATTTCCAAATGCAATCAAACTGATGGACAGAAAGAGGAGCCAGGCCCCTTTGTTTGCATGCATATGGACACGTGTACCCCCCCGGATCTCCCCATGCCCCCCTTTCCTTGCATTGCAGAAAATAGGGCTTTTGGTGGGCTTTTCTCTGTTTTTTGCAGACATGGCTGCACGGTTTGCATTGTTGCATGAACTACAATTCTATAAGGGAGTGTTTGGGTGCAAAAGAGATCCATGCAACCCCCATTTTCCAAATTTAGACCAGTGCACTAGTTCCTAAATCTCATAATAATAATAATAATAATAATAATAATAATAATATATTTAATAATATATTTAATAATATATTTAATATAATAATTTATGTTATAAATATAAATTTATTATATAATAATTATATTTATATTATTTTACATAATTAAATAATAAATACTTCATATATAATGGATAACATATAATAATATTAATAAAATATATTATAATCATAATAACTAGTTCCTAAGTCTAATAATAATAATAATATAATGTATGTAATAAATATACATTTATTATATAATAATTATATTTATATTATGTTACATAATCATATAATAAATAATTCATATATAATAGATAACAGAATAATTAATATTAATAAATATATAATAATAATAATAACTAGTTCCTAAGTCTAATAATAATAATAATATAATTTATGTAATAAATATACATTTATTATATAATAATTATATTCATATTATGTTACATAATTATATAATAAATAATTCATATATAATGGGTAACATATAATTAATATTAATAAAATATAATCATAATAACTAATTCCTAAGTCTAATAATAATAATAATAATAATATATTTATTAATAAAATTTCATATAATAATTTATGGAATAAATATAAATTTATTATATAATAGTTATATTTATATTATTTTACATAATTATATTTATATAATAAAAATAATATATAATGAATAACAGAATAATTAATATTAATAAAATATATTAAATATTGATAATTAAATAATTTATATAATTTAAATAATAAATATAAACTATTTGTATATTTACATAATTATACTTATATAATAAATAATTCATTCTCTTAATAATAATAAAATGAATATTTAATATTAATTATAATAAATAAAAAACAACAATCAATAATAATAAAGATCCATGCAACCTCCTTTTTCCAAATCCAGAGCAGTTTACTAGTTGCTCATTCTGATCCCAATTCTAATAGCAATAACAATACCAACAATAATAAAATAATATTGAACAATTCTAATAATATAGTAAAGGTTTCCTCCTGACATTAAGTCCAGTCAGGTCTGACTCTGGTACTCTGCTGCTCATCTCCATTCTAAGCCAAAGAGCCGGCGTTGTCCATAGACACCTCCAAGGTCATGTGGCCGGCATGACTGCATGGAGTGCCATTCCCACCGGAGCGGTACCTATTGATCTACTCACATTTGTATGTTTTCGAACTGCTAGGTTGGCAGAAGCTAGGGCTGACAGCGGAAGCTCACACCGCTCCCTGGAATCGAACCTGCGACCTTTCAGTCAACAAGCTCAGCAGCTCAGCGCTTTAACCCACTGTGCCACCGGGGCCTCTAATAATATAATAATAATAATTTCATCAATCATCATTAACAACAGGACCAGGTCCAGGATTGAAAACACCTGCTGGCTCTCATTCCAGCATCGTGAGCATTTTCATGGCGTCTCCTTTCTGATGTTTCCAGGTTTTCTGGCTCCATTGACTGTTGATAGATGCGGGTTTCATGGAGGAGGAAAGGGAAGCCGGTCCTTTGAAGGAGGAAGTCATGGAAGGAAGTGACGTGGGAAATGTTCCCTTTCCAGGTATGGATCTGCCTTTGCCCCTTAATTTGAGCGGTGCTTTAATTTAATATATGTATGTATGCATTTATTTATATCTCACTTTATCTCTTTATATAGAGACTCAAAGCGGCTCACAATCAAAAGCATTGCAACTTAAAACATACAATAATAAAACAGTATGTCATTATACAGGGTTAGTCAAAATGAATAGGCCAATAAGAAAATTAATTTTAGACGAATGTATGTTTACTGTAACCAAACCACAGCTACGTAGCGACAGATAAACTATCAAAGTTTCTTTTGATCAACACACATGTACGTTAATGCCGCTAGGCGTCGCTAGGTGCCCCTCCGCATTGGCACAACAGTGTACGCGAGTACCTCAACGAACACCTTCCCAGACGTTGGATTGGCCGTGCTGGAGTGACTGATCTTCCATTCCTCCTGTGGCCCCCCAGGTCCCCCGACCTCACACCATGCGACTTTTCTCTCTGGGGGTATGTGAAAGACACTGTGTTCCGACCTCCATTACCGCTGACCTTGGACGACTTAAAACAGCGCATATGTGCTGCATTCGATGCCATTACGTCGGATGTGCTGCAACGGATGTGGAATGAACTGGACTATCGCTTGGACATCTGCCGTGTCACACGGGGCGCCCATATCGAACATCTCTGAAGGTGAGACAAAACTTTGATAGTTTATCTGTCGATACGTAGCTGTGGTTTGGTTACAGTAAACATACATTCGTCTAAAATTAATTTTCTTATTGGCCTATTCATTTTGACTAACCCTGTATATTAATATATATTATCAGGCATGATTATATTTAATATATACAATAATAAACAGTATGTCATTATATATTATTATATATTATCAGTCATAATTATATTTAATATATTAGTATTATAATAAGAATTAGTGTAATATATTATATTATATTATATTATATTATATTAAGAATTAGTATTATAATAATTAATATGTTGCAATATTATGTCTGTCTTGTCAGTGTATAAATGGCATTGAATGTTTGCCATATATGTGTGTCCTGTGTTTATTTATCGTATCAGAAGCAAACTGAGAGTACAGTTGTAGTGCATTTAAAAAACACAAAGTTTGCAAGCTTGGTAGTGGATTAAATGTCCTTTGACCAGTACCTGGCCCCTTGGAGTGCCTCTGGTGTTACTGCAAGGAGGTCCTCCATGGTGCATGTAGCAGGGCTCAGGTTGCATTGCAGCAGGTGGTCAGTGGTTTGCTCTTCTCCGCACTCGCATGTCGTGGATTCCACTTTGTGGCCCCATTTCTTGAAGTTGGCTCTGCATCTCGTGGTGCCAGAGCGCAGTCTGTTCAGCGCCTTCCAAGTCGCCCAGTCTTCTGTGTGCCCAGGGGGGAGTCTCTCATTTGGTATCAGCCATTGGTTGAGGTTCTGGGTTTGAGCCTGCCACTTTTGGACTCTCGCTTGCTGAGGTGTTCCAGCGAGTGTCTCTGTAGATCTTAGAAAACTATGTCTGGATTTAAGTCGTTGACGTGCTGGCTGATACCCAAACGGGATGAGCTGGAGATGTCTCTGCCTTGGTCCTTTCACTATTGGCTGCCACTTCCCGGCGGATGTCAGGTGGTGCAATACCGGCTAAACAGTGTAGTTTCTCCAGTGGTGTAGGGCGCAGACACCCTGTGATAATGCGGCATGTCTCATTAAGAGCCACATCCACTGTTTTAGCGTGGTGAGATGTGTTCCACACTGGGCATGCGTACTCAGCAACAGAATAGCATAGCGCAAGGGCAGATGTCTTCACTGTGTTTGGTTGTGATCCCCAGGTTGTGCCAGCCAGATTTCATATGATATTGTTTCTAGCACCCACTTTTTGCTTGATGTTCAGGCAGTGCTTCTTGTAGGTAAGAGAACAGTCCAGAGTGACTCCCAGGTATTTGGGTGCGCTGCAATTTATTTATTTATTTAAAACATTTATATTCCGCCCTTCTCTCCCCACAGGGGACTCAGGGCAGAGCACAACATATATATGGGAAACATTCAATGCCAGGACATACATTTATTTATTTGCAGCATTTATATTCCGCCCTTCTCACCCCACAGGGGACTCAGGGCAGATTACAATGTACACATATATGGTAAACGTTCAATGCCAAAGACACACAACACATATAGACAAACAGTCTGAGGCTATTTAACTTTTTTTTTTTCTGGCCACCTGGGGAGCTGTCGCTTTCATCGTCCATCTGCAACACTGATGAAGTACTTTTGCATTCCCCGCATGCTTTTGCTGGAGTTCTTTGCTGGAGTCTTTTTTTATGGCCTCGTAATTTTTTGTTAAATTAGCCTCCCCACACATAGGTGGTACCTAATTTTCCTACTTGACAGCTGCAACTGTCTTTCGGGTTGCAAAGGTCGACAACAGGCTACACAATTGGGTTGGAAGCTCACTCTGACCCGGGCTGGCTTTGAACTCATGACCTTCTGGTCATAGTGATCTTAATGCAGCTGACACTCAGACATCTGCGCCACAGTCCCAGTGCAATAAAGCCGTAAATATATAAAAACATTAAAATCACCTATATCCACTTCAAAAGTTGCCGAAAAACCATCTCCGGACAGTGGGATTCCTCCCCAGATCATCCTCAGAGCGCGAGATGCTTATCAGTTCTTAAAGTGAAAAGCACACATCTGTGTTTTAGATGGATTAGGAATCAGCTGGTTTTCCCTGTAATAGGCAGTAAGATCACCTAAGCTTCAGAGAGCTTCTGTTCAACCATCTCAAAGTTCTGTGCTTGAACAGTGATGGCACGATCGTTAGCATAGATGAAACTCTCTGTCTCTTCTGGCAGTGGCTGGTCATTTGTGTAAATGTTAAACATGGATGGAGCAAGCACGCTCCCCTGAGGCAGGCCGTTCTTCTGTGTGTTCTGTGATCTGCCTTGAATCATAGAATCATAGAGTTGGAAGAGACCTCATGGGCCATCCAGTCCATTATTATTACTATTACTATTTTCTCAACTCTTTATCCAATGTTTTCTGGTTGTCCCAACAGGTGAAGGACACGATTGTCATCCTTCAACGAAGCCATATTGGGTGTCTCCAGAGACCATCAAGCAGGAAGTGAAGGAAGAGGTCTTTGAGGACCACGAGGAGCCTAAGAAGGAAGAAGTCCCACCAAAGAGAGGAAGGAAGAGAAAGATGATTTCTAGGCAGGCTGGTGATTTCTGCCAAGTCCCCGTCCAACAACAACATCCAAAGAGTGAGGGTCCTTCATGTGGGAAGACCTTCTGCTCCAAACTGAACCTTGACTCACATGATAGAAGCCGTGCAGTGGAGAAATCCTGCAAGTGCAAGGATTGTGAAAAGAGCTTCCTTAATTCGCACCTGAGAGTTCACCTGAGAGCGCAGAAACCCTATAAATGCACAGACTGTGTGAAGAGCTTCAGTCACAAGTCCAGTCTCGCTCAGCATCAGAAAACCCACCGTGGGAATAAAAGATTTACATGTCTAAGATGTCAAAAGAGCTTTGATAGTCGAGCCAGCCTCGGAGCGCACAAGGAAACCCACATCTTCACATGTCTGGAGTGTGGGAAACATTTCAGCCTCAATGTGTACCTGACTTTGCATGAGCGAACACACACCGGGGAAAGGCCCTTTACGTGCCCGCAATGTGGGAAGAGCTTTCTCCAGAGAGGCCACCTTAGGGTGCACCTGAGGACCCACACAGGGGAGAAGCTGCACCAATGCGACACGTGCGGAAAGTGCTTTGGCCAAAAGGCGCATTTCGCGTTGCACCAGAGGATCCACACGGGAGAGAAGCCCTACAAATGCCCGGCGTGCGGGAAGGACTTCCGCTACAGCATCAACCTGGCCGAACACCAGAGAGTCCACACGGGGGAAAAGCCGTACAAGTGCTTCGAGTGTGGAAAGAGCTTCAGTTGTCGCTCAAATATGAATTCGCACCGAAAAACCCACACGGGGGAGAAGCCGTACAAATGCATGGAGTGTGGGAGGAAATTCAGCCATAGCGCCAGCCTCATCCAGCACCATCGGATCCACACCGGAGATAAACCCTTTTTGTGTTTGCGGTGTGGGAAGAGTTTCAGGACGAGCACCGGTCTCAGTTTGCACGAGAAAGTTCACACTCCGCTGAAGGCATACTCGTGCCTGGAGTGCGGCAAATCCTTCATGTACAGGTCGTATTTGATGACACATAAACGGATCCACTCGGGGGAAAAACCGTTCCAATGCCTGGAGTGTGGAAAGGCCTTCCACCAGCAACCGCACCTCGTGACGCATCAAAGGACCCATACCGGAGAGAAACCGTTCCAATGCGCCGAGTGCGGGAAGAGATTCAGCCAGAGCTCGCACCGCAATTTCCACCAGCGGATCCACACGGGAGAGAGACCCTTTAAATGCTTGACCTGCGGGAAGAGCTTTGTGAGTAGAAGAAACCTGACTTCCCACCAGCGGACCCATACGGGGGAGAAGCCCTTCCAGTGCTTTGAGTGTAAGAAGAACTTCAGCCACAAGTCAGCCCTCCGCATCCATCACCGAACTCACACGGGGGAGAAACCGTATCCTTGCTTGGAGTGCGGAAAGACCTTCAATTGTAGTTCAAGCCTGACCACCCACCAGAGAGTCCACACTGGGGAGAAGCCGTTCCAATGCTTGGAGTGTGGGAAGAGCTTTGCGACCGCCACAAACCTTGGGGTGCACAAGAGAGTCCACAGTAGAGTGAAGCCGTATGAATGCTTGGAATGTGGGAAAAGCTTCCGGTGGAGCAGCCAGTTTGCATCCCATCAAAAGACACACTTGAAGGGAGGAATCTGAAACAATGGGACTACCTCAGAAGATTTCAAGGCTAGTCTGTTGTTATTGGCATAATGGATTGCCGTTACAGTTAGTCCACCACATTTGTGGGTCTATCTTTTATGCATTTGGTTACTTTTATGAACATTTTCTTCCTAGGACTGCCTAGGTGCTCCACTGTCACTTTGCCAGGGCTCTGCCACTACGCAGGCAGAGGTGAACCAAACAAACATCCCGCTTGTGTCAAACTTTCTGGTTGTTTTCATAGTTCAAATGTAAAACATAAAGATAGCACTCAGCCACAGAATATAAAACAAGGACTGCTAGCAAACGCTGATGCAGGTTCAAGAGAAAGGGTCCAGTCCAATGGTCAAACACCGAGAGTTCAATGAATAAAGTCCAAGGATCAAGAGTCTATACCATAGTCAAAAGCCAATCCCGAGATTCAAGGTTCTAGAGTTTCAAGAGTTCAGTAGACAGGTCAGGATACTGAAAATCCACAAATCTCGAGGGGGAAAAAGTTGAGCATCCACCTCCAAAATAGCACAAATACTTTTCTCCGAACATCAATCTCAGGACTAGCTCCTTATAACCAGTAAAACCCAACTGCAACCCATCTCTTGCATGCCTCGACCCTTAACTGCTTTCACCTGTAAACACTTACTTACAGATTACTCAGCTCTTTAGAACTTAACTCCTTCCATCACCAACTGCTAAGCCTGCCACCACCAACCACCACGAACAATAACAAAACTTTATTTATATACCACTCTATCACCCCAAGGGGACTCAGAGGGGTTTCCAAGTACCATCAACTGCAGAACATGATACATGACATCCACCATGACTTTATGATCAACTTTTGCTGGTGCATTTGAAGACAGGACTATTCCCTCATAATGATCTAGAACAGTGTTTCCCAACCTTCCTAATGCTGCGACCCTTTAATACAGCTTCTCATGTTGTGGTGACCCCCAACTATAAAATTATTTCCGTTGTTACATCATAACTGTAATTTTGTTATTGTTATGAATTGTCATGTAAATATATGCGGGATGTATTTTCATTGTTACTTCTCTTTCTCCCTGGGATTTGACTATGGAGGGGCCACTCCATCCCTCTCTAAGCCCTGCCCTCCCCTCACCCCAGGATCCCCTTCCCTAGGCCCCTTTCCCTCACCTTCTCCCTTTCCACCTTCTCTTCCCTCTCTTCCTCCTCTTCCTCCTCCTCCTTCCCTCTTGACTCCAAAGCAAACTTCACCTCCGTCACACCTGTCTCTTCCTCTTAAAATGGCAGAGGGGCAGGTCCGAGTGATGTAACCATCTCCTTTTTCCCACCTCTGGGAAGCAAAAGAGGTGGGAAAAAGTTAGCTGTGTCTCAGTTCCTAAGACCACTGGAAATATGTGTTTTCCGACGGTCTTAGGCAACCCTTGTGAAAGGGTTGTTCGACCCCCAAAGGAGTCACCACCCACAGTTTGACAATTGGGGGTGGGAAAAAAATAGCAGTGTCTCAGTTCCTAAGACCATTGGAAATATGTGTTTTTTGACGGTCTTAGGCAACCCTTGTGAAAGGGTCGTTCGACCCCCAAAGGGGTTGGCACCCACCGTTTGAGAATCAGGGGTGGGAAAAAATTAGCGGTGTCTCATTTCCTAAGACCATTGGAAATATGTGTTTTCCGATGGTCTTAGGCAACCCTTGTGAAACGGTCATTCGTCTCCCAAAGGGGCCGCGACCCACAGTTTGAGAATCAAGTGTGGGAAAAGTTAGCGTTGTCTCAGTTCCTAAGACCATCAGAAATATGTGTTTTTTGACGGTCTTAGGCAACCCTTGTGTTGCAATCCAGAGCAGGGAACGAGGCCCTAAGATAACTATCCACCACACTTGACTGTGAAAAACAATCATTTTTATTGAAGAAAAATGGTTACAAAATAAAGGAAAAATGCAAGTCAAAAGCCACAGCAAAATTCAGCAAACATGAATTTAAATGCGCAAGAACAAAACCCAAAGCCACACTGCAAAATACTGGAACCTGTTTAGTGATTCACTAACGGTACTTGATATCCTAGAAATCTTCCCAAACTATGGCCAGGGAACTGGGAGAAGTGCCAAGGTCTTCATCAATTCTGAAACGATGCCTGAACTGAGACAGTCAGCCCGGCGGAAGGCAATTAAAGCCCAAGAATTGGTTCCGTGAACCGCCCCTCTTCTTTGAAGCCAATGTTTTTAATTCTTGAATTCGGGAGGATCGACGCAAGCTGAGTGATTTACTTCTGTCTTCCCAAATTTGGCCCCTTCTGTTGTCATTACAGTTAACAGGTGCAGAAGGGAGGGAGAGGTCAAAGCTTCCCTCTGAAACATTATCAGGAACACTGGTACTTTCATTTTCCAAATCTACAGAAGTTCCTTCCTCACTAATTTCAGGAGCATTGGCATTTTCCAAACCTACAGCAGTTTCTTCCTCACTAATTTCAGGAGCATTGGCATCAAAAGGTACATTTCCATTAGCATCAGTAAATATATTTTCATTAGCATCAGGAGGAACAAACAGAGAATCAGGTTCAAGTTCAAACTCAGGCTGAACCCCAACACCTTGTGAAAGGGTTGTTTGATCCCCAAAGGGGTTGCCACCCACAGTTTGAGAATCGGGGGTGGGAAAAAGCGGTGTTTCAGTTCCTAAGACCTCAGAAATATGTGTTTTCTGATGGTCTTAGGCGACCCTTGTGAAAGGGTCGTTCAACCCCCAAAGGGGCCGTGACCAACAGTTTGCGAATCGGGGGTGGGAAAAAGTTAGCAGTGTCTCAGTTCCTAAGACCATCAGAAATATGTGTTTTCTGATGGTCTTAAGCAACCCTCGTGAAATGGTCATTCGACCCCCAAAGAGGCCGTGACCCACAGTTTAAGAATCAAGGGTGGGAAAAAGTTAGCGGTGTCTCAGTTCCTAAGAACATCAGAAGTACGTGTTTTCTGACGGTCTTAGGCGACCCTTGTGAAAGGGTCGTTCAACCCCCAAAGGGATCGCGACCCAAAATTTGAGAATCCCTGATCTTTAAAAGTGGGAATGCATATTGTTCTGAATTAGGATTAGTTAGATCTTCTTTAACCGCTTCGAGTCGCCTTTTTTAGGCTGATATTTGCGGTATACAAAAGAAGTAAATAAATAAATAAATACATGTCACTAGCAAGGATAAATTTCCTGTGGTTGCTATAACAGCATTCCTCTGTTATGAATCAATAACAAAGAGGGAGTAAGATTGTTTTGTCCTTTTTATCATTTGAATTATCAACCCCCCCCCCCCCCAAATTTAAGATGAGGTTGAAAGAGTTTAACTTAGGAAATGCATGCTTGCATTCGACATGCCAGTTAATACACGTTCTTTGAAAGTTTATGGGACATTTTCTAAATTGTTGGCTTGATATTGATTATTTTGAGAAGACCAAGAAGAATCTCAAGTTTGAAATCAAAATACAGTGTTCCCTCGCTACTTTGCGGTTCGCTTTACGCAGAATCGGTTTTGTGGGTTTTTGTAAATATTAATATAAAATATTTACGTTATCAGAAAAGGAGGCTGGTGTGTGGGCCGGAACTTTCTCCACCAGCTCCATTTGCCCTCCTGCAACTTGGATGCTTGTGTGGCTGCTCTTTCTCCCGGCCCATCCCGAGGGCACCTGCCTGCCTCCCTGGCTTCCGTAGACCCCGGCAGAGCTTCCGGAGCCACGCAGGCAGCAGCAGGCCAGGGAGGCAGGCCTTCCCCGCCACGCCTCAGGCCGACGCTCTGACGGGTCTGTGGAGGCCGGGAGGTGGACCTCCCCCGCCATGCCTCAGGTTGCCGCTCTGCCGGGTCTGTGGAGGCCAGGGAGGTAGACCTTCCCTACCATGCCTCAGGCCACCGCACTTCCGGTGTCTGCAGAGGCCAGGGTGGCAGGTCTTCCCCGCCATGCCTCAGGCTGCCATTCTGCCAGGTCTGTGGAGGCTAGGGAGGTAGGCCTTCCCTGCCATGTCTCGGGCCACTGCACTTTCGGTGTCTGCAGAGGTCAGGGTGGCAGGTCTTCCCCGCCGCGTCTCAGGCCGCCATTCTGCCGGGTCTGTGGAGGCCAGGAAGGTAGGCCTTCCCTGCCATGCCTCAGGCCGCTGCACTTCCGGTGTCTGCAGAGGCCAGGGTGGCAGGCCTTCCCCGCCACGACTCAGGCCAGGAGAAAGAGCAGCCACACAAGCATCCAAGTTGCAGGAGGGGTCTGTGGAGCCCGGGAAGTAGACCTTCCCCGCTATGCCTCACGCCACCGCACTTCCAGTGTCTGCAGAGGCCAGGGTGGCAGGTCTTCCCCAGTGCACCTCGGGCCACTGCTCTGCCGGGTCTGTGGAGGCCGGGAAGTAGACCTTCCCCGCTATGCCTCATGCCACTGCACTTCCAGTGTCTGCAGAGGCCAGGGTGGCAGGTCTTCCCTGCCATGCCTCAAGCTGCCGCTTTGCCAGAGTCTGTGGAGGCCAGGATGGTAGGCCTTCCCCACCACCGCACTTCCAGTGTCTGCAGAGGCCAGGGTGGCAGGTCTTCCCCGCCTCAGGCCGCCGCTCTGCCAGGTCTGTGGAGGCCGGGAAGTAGACCTTCCCCGCCATGCCTCACGCCACTGCACTTCCAGTGTCTGCAGAGGCCAGGGTGGCAGGTCTTCCCTGGCGCACCTCGGCAGCCACTCTGCCGGGTCTGTGGAGGCCAGGAAGGTAGGCCTTCCCTGCCATGCCTCAGGCCACTGCATTTCTGGTGTCTGCAGAGACAAGGGTGGCAGGTCTTCCCCGCCATGCCTCAGGCTGCCGCTTTGCCGGAGTCTGTGGAGGCCAGGGTGGTAGGCCTTCCCCACCACCGCACTTCCAGTGTCTGCAGAGGCCAGGGTGGCAGGTCTTCCCCGCCGCGCCTCAGGCCGCCGCTCTGCCGGGTCTGTGGAGGCCGGGAAGTAGACCTTCCCTGCTATGCCTCACGCCACTGCACTTCCAGTGTCTGCAGAGGCCAGGGTGGCAGGTCTTCCCCGGCGCACCTCGGGTCACCGCACTTCCGGGGTCCAGAGGCATGGCGAGGAAAACCTGTCTCCCTGGCCTCCACAGATCTCGGAAGTGCGGCGGCCTGAAGTGCGGCGGGGAAGACCTGCCACCCTGGCCTCTGCAGACACTGGAAGTGCGGTGGCTTGAGGCATGGCGGGGAAGGTCTACCTCCCGGCCTCCACAGACCCGTCAGAGCGGCGGCCTGAGGCATGGC